CTCCTGCCTCCCCCCAGACCGCTCGCTCCCACACAGTGTGTGTGTGTGAGTGCACTCAGCTCGTGCTGTTGATATATCCCTTTTTGTTTCAACATCCTGCTATGAAAACATTTGTTTAACTTGTCATAGTGTTTAGTAATGTATTGCACGTATTGTGTGTACTATATATAATTATTTGAAGTCTTTTGATCGGAGAAGAATACACAAGGGAAAAGCCTAGCGTGAGGCAGGCAGTGTCTGTGCCTCACCACTAGGGGTGATAGTGAGCATGAAGTTATACCCGAGTTGCTAACAGACAGACACAGATCAGTCCTGTCGGTGCCATTTCTTTTGCTGGAAAATGGATGATTGGATTGAGGATTTGTTTCTCAACTGGACTTTCAATCAAAACAAGAAGTAATATAGACAAGACCACCGCTGGACTGACGAGGTTAGTCCGGCCGCGGGGGAGGAGTCTGTGTTTTATATTGAAAATGTACTAGAGCTGCATAAAAGTGCTTCCCCGAAAAACACTGATTTAACACTGCTCATGAGTTCTGCAACTTGTTTAATTCTTGTTTGTGTTCCTTGTGTTTCTCTCTGTCTCTCCTAGTGTCTCCCTTTCTCTCTCTCCTCGCATCTCTCGCTCCTTGCGTCTCTCTCTCTCCCTCCCGTCTCTCGCACCTGTGCTTCGCAAAGACCATGGATCTATTATAATAACGGCAAAGACTTGGTTTGATGCGGAGCGGAGAGCCAGCATCTAGATAAGATAAGATAAGATAAACCTTTATTAGTCTCACAGTGGAGAAATTTCAGATGTGTTGTGGGATTATTATTAATATGCTGGTTCTTATCTTTACAGTATATAATGTTTGTGGACGTTTTTGCATTGACGATTTAATGCTATTTTATTAGAATAATTATGGTAAATCTGACTGTTTAAAGTCAGTGCCTCCCCAATCACAAACCTCACCGCACGTCCCTGCTGTAGAGGCAGTCACCTCTGCTTACAGTCGGGATTGGACCAGAAATAAAAACAGATAGTCCGGAGGATTGAAGGAGGTGGAACAGATCCATAAAATGTTTCTTCGTGACTTCTGACTGCTGAAGTTTCATGTCGTTAATTCCCACATGCACGACTACCTTGGAAACGGTATCAGGCAGGGACTGAAGCAGAGGAGGGAGACGTATGAGCAGGTCTGGTACAGTAGCTCCGGGAATACAGCGAGTGACCGCGTTGAAGAAGCGGACGTGTCTCACGATGGAATCTCCAATAATCAGAGTGGTCGGGGCGAAGAGTGGCCTCGGAGAAGGAGCTCGGTGGACAGCGGGTTCACCCGAAGCAGGACCGGAGCCTGAGCGCCGCTGAACACATGGAGAGGAGGAGCGGGGGTGCTGACTCTCAGCTACAGGCGACCCACGCTGTGTGCTCGGGGACGCTGGAGCGGTGAGAGGGGCTGGCTCTGGGCGCTGCTGCTGACCCGGTGGAGGTGAGCGGTGGTAATGATGGCTCGCTACCCCAGTCTGAGGCTGCTGCACTGGGGTCAAAGAAGGGGAACAGGCCAACATGGCTGGTGGACCGCTCTTTCGCCTGAGGACTGCTTCCTTTAGGAGCGTTTTCCTCGCAGTGGACTTGGATCCTCGAGCAGTAGAGTACGCTGCAGTGTCCAGGGATTCTGCTGAGGGGGCCGGGATGTCGGTGGAGAGGGCTGCATAGCGGTTTGCCAGACTCAGGACATGGGCCACGGCGCAGGATGGCTCCTCGGAATCCGCGGGCTCGTTATTCGGAACCGGGCGCTTAGGTGTAGAACAGGAGGGTCCGGAGCTGACGGATCTCTCCCACACGACAGTGTCACAATATGCAGCGCTCAGTGACATCAGCCGTGAATGCTGCCCACCAGCGACTTCAAAAAGTTTGGATACTAGAGATTGTTTCTCATTCAACTCTGCGGTGAGACGAAGGACTTCTTTTCGTAGATCTGCAATGGTGGCACGGTCGCTCTCACGGAGCTCCAAGGTGAGGCGACTAATATTGTGCATGTTTGAGCCAATTTCATTGTCACTTTCCATGTCCTCGTTAGCTTGTGTTAGCCTCTGTGCTACTAGTGGGTTTCAGTCGGGACTAAGTGCTATTTGCTGAAACCACTGAATTAATAAGATAAAGCACTCAGATATATTAAAAAACTGAACAATAAAAACGCGCTAAAAAGTTGTTAAAAGTTTACTAAAAAGGTGCACAGAGCAGCCCTGCAGTACTGCTTACTTTGACACACCTGCGTTGATTGACCTGCGTTGAACGCATCCAAAACATGTGAACTGGTCTACGACTTCAGTCGCAATAGTTCTCATTTGCCTGTCGTAATCGACAACTCCCGAGTGCAGATCGTAGAGGAGTGCAAGTTTCTGGGTTTAACTCTGTCTAACGACTTGAAATGGGTTAAAAACACTGACCGAGTCGTTAAGAAAGCTCGTCAGCGTCTCTACTTTCTGCGTAAACTTAGAGAATTTACCACTAACTCTAAGATTCTGCTTAACTTTTATCGCTGCACCATTGAGAGTTTACTTGTTGGTTCTGTGTCTGTGTGGTTTGGAAACATCACAGATAAAGAAAAGAGCTTTAAACAAGGTGCTCCGCTCTGCAAAGAGGACCGTGGGCTGTGAGCTTCCTGTTCTGGAGGTTCTTTATAAATCCAGACTTTTAAACAAAGCTCTTAGGATTGTCAATGACTCTTCTGGCCACCCTGGGAAAGCCATGTTCCAGCTTCTTCCCTCTGGCAGAAGATATCGTTCCCTGAGATGCAGGACATCTCGTTATGCTAACAGTTTTTATCCACAAGCTGTTATCAGTGTGAACAGAGCACTTTAATGATTTGCACTTGTTTTGAAACTGTTTTAGTCGATCGATTTCACAGTAACATTTGTTTACTGTTTTATTTGTTTTATTTTTGTCTTTTAATGTTGTTTTATGTCTGTATTTGTCTGTGCACACTGGGGACTTTTGCTAATGTATTCCAATGTGGGTTTTTTTTTTACTGCAAATGGCAAATAAAATGAATCTGAATCTGATCTGAATCTGATCTGAATCTGAATCTGATCTGAAATAAACAAGGTCAACAAAACAAGCCCAGAGCTCGGTCCCTGGCTCCGGCTTCCTGCTGAGGGTGGTGCTCTGCTCTCTGTGGCCTCATTTAGATCCGTATCACCTCCAGACCAGGATGAGACCCTGATGGAGAGCGGCTCAGAGGCGGAAAAGCCAAATCAAACTTGAAGTCAACTCATTGTCGATACAGAAACCGCCGTGCGTCACTTCTCAACTTGGGAACGTGTTTGTGCTCAGGTGAGAACGAAGTAAGCAATTGTTGTTCAAGGCCGTGTTATATCTGCGTCGGAATCCACATTGTACTAAAAAGTGTGTGCAATGGTCAAGTGGATTTGAAAACAATATGACGTGTGGTAAATAATACATGTGGCCTAGCTGGGTTTCCCTCCCACAAGGACAGTGATATGGAAATGATCAGACTCTGCTTTGATATAATAAAGAAGGTTTAATGCATTAATGTATAAAAACAGAATACAGGCAAATTACTGGCTATGCTTCATAACCTGGGTCTCCTGCAAAATGGCAAAGATGGAAAGACAAAGAATGAAGAAAACGCTGCTTTCTCACAATTGCAGAGGAGCCTTATGGATGGGTCAAATCACCGGATGTCAGCGTAACACATCCATCCATCCATTTTCTTCCCCTTAATCCATTTCTGGGTTGGGGGGTGGCAGTCAGAGCTGCACCCAGCAGTACACAGAGCACCAGCCCCTCACTGATCCTCCTGCAGGTGCTGAGTCAGCCTTGATCTTTCAGTGGGGGCTTCAGGCAAAGTGGGGTTAAGTGTCTTGCCCAAGGACACAACGATAGCAGCCATCAGTGGGAGTTTGGACTCCTCTGGTCAGGACAAACTGCAGACTCCTCGGATCTTTAGGACCAATTCTGGTTCAGTAAAGTGCTTCATTTTTGTGGATGTAAAATCAACTAAACAAATGAACCAATGTTCGTGAGTCTCTCCAAATGTTTACTTTATGGTTTGTTTTGGATCTACTGTAGTAATCACAGTTACAATCAAACATATTACAATATTTCACAGTATTTTGATCGTTAAAGAGTTCTATTGCTTTTACAGTAACAATGTCCAAATACTGTATAAACATAATCCTGCATATGTGTAGTTTGGTCTAAATTACTATGGATTATTTACAGTAAAAGATTGTGAAATATTTCCAATAGACGACTGTGAAAACTTTACAATTATTAGTCACTAATTCATGGTAAATGAATGTACATGGTAGCTTCTGCCATTTGCTGCCGTGTGCTGGGCCCCGGGCAGCACAGAGCGGGACAGAAACAGACTGAACAAGCTGGTCAGGAGGGCCAGCTCCACTCTGGGCTGCTCCCTGGACTCTGTGGAGGAGGTGAGGGACAGGAGGGTGCTAGCCAAAGCCACCTCCATCATGAACAATACCTCCCACCCACTGCACAGGACTGTAGAGGAGCTGAGGAGCTCCTTCAGTGGAAGACTGAGGCACCCTCAGTGTAGGAAGGAGCGCTACCGCAGGGCCTTTATCCCCACCGCTGTCAGACTGTACAATAAGTCACTTTAAATGATCACTGTGTGAAAACCTGCACTACTATTGACACTGTTTCCAATTGACACTTGTCACTTTTGTTGTACATAATTATTGTCACTTTATTGTACATATATCCTGCATGTAACATGTTTGCACATTTCCTCCCTTTGCACAATCTGAGTGTCTCTATCCATGCCAAATGTGACATGTAAATTTCTCCTCTGTGAGATAAATAAAGCAATCTTATCTTATCTTACATAAGTGGAAGTGAATCAGAAAATCCCCCCATCAGTCTGCCACCTCCTCTCAAACCTGATGTGAAGAAAAATAGACCTTTACAGATTACTCAGACTTTGAAATGGAACTTGAGATTCTTGGATGTGAGGCGTCCAGGTGTCAGGCCGTCACAGCTCTGCTCTTCCATCCATCAGCCTCCCGCCCCCTGCTGCACCCGTGGTGAAGGGGCCACCGGCCTTTACGCTGCTCTGGGCTGCAGGAATGTGGCTAAAACACACACAGGCTCCGGCCGCAGAAGAGCTCAGGGAAGATGCTCTGTGTCTATCACGCTCGTCACTGGAGGATCAGCAGAACCAGTCACCAGAACCTTTGTATTTGTAATTTTTTTCAGTCATTAACAAACAGCAGTAAAAAAGAAAAAAAAACAGATTGTATCTTTTTGTTGCTAATCTCCATCTGTATTGTCACACTCACTCTCACAAACACACACTCATTCAACCCTCACCTGTTGTACATGTTTTTAGTGGTAGGGGAAACCGGAGCACCAGGAAGAAACCAGAATGTTCAAATCATAGACTTTAAATATTCCATAATTACTTTAGCGCTCTTAAAATAATTTGGTTCTATCAGTTTTTACATGAGTACATTTTTGGCCACTTTTTAGTCAGAAAAGAGAGAGAACCACCCCCACTCAGCCAATCAGCTCTCGGCATCAATTAGTGACTCCAAAGGGCTCGAACTGGTCTGATTTGTTCGCAACATTATACATAAGTACAAAACATACTCATTCTGCTGTGACGACTAAAATGAGACCAAAGAAAATCAATGGCAGACAGTAGGAGAGTGACTCCAGGTGAGGATTGGCCAGGTGTAGAGCCACTCCTCCAATCAGCGCCTGAGACACAGACTTCTGGTTCTCCAATCACAGGCCAGGGATCCAGAGGTAGGGGAACACACGAAACACACTAATTACAAACAGGGAACAATATTAAGGCCTAGGGCAACAGTTTAGATACACCAGTTTGAAAAATAGTATAGAATGGCTCCACTGACCAATTTGTGTTACCACATCGACACAGTTGAATTGTACTTAAGCCGAACACCCGCTCTCCTTGTTCTAACGTGCTCTAACAAGGCTGTGTTTCCATTGGACAAAAGGAGGAAAGCTTTGGTCATGTGCAATCAGAGAATAGAGAATCACTGGCCTTGAAAGAGCTTTGCATTCCCTATGTGCCCTTCTTATGTGTGTGTGTGTGTGTATGTGTGTATTGCATTACGTGAGCTTACAGTCTACTTGTGCCTGTGGTGGGTCAGTCTCTGCAACACAACTTCTCAGACTGATGTTTTGGGGCGTCAATAAAAACAGTCACAGATCAAACTTCTGCAACTGCTCAGAAACGTGATTCAATAATGTTTTTAGAAGAAACTTCAAAAAGCACTTTTAAGATTGTCAGTTGTGTCAGCATCCATGAATTTGTATGATATTGTAATTTCTCTATTTATTCTTTTATTGGCCTAATTAAACCAGGGAAGTTCCATTGACCCCACAGTGTAATAATCATTCTTGTGTATCCGTGAAATGAGTCGTGCAGGTTATAAATTCTGGCTTCTTCTCTGACAATGTTCAAGTTCAGGTTTAAAATAGTTCTGTCTAGCTGTGCATACAACAAAAACATGTGATATTAATGTTTCTTTTCTTGATTTTGATATGATATTTACATTAATGGACATTGGTCATCTGCCCTTATGGACCAATGGTGTTTTTTAATTTTTTTTAATCAATGTTGTGCTTTAGGGCTAAACAAAAATGGTAAGTAAGTGTGTTTATTCGGGCATCTAGACATTAGATTAAACTTAATTGAATAAAGATTGTATTTAAGTTCAGGGTTGTTCTTTACTTAATATTCACAATTTTCCCCGTACCTACTGTTCTGTAACTTGTGATGCAACACTGAAATTTCCCCACTGTGCAAAGAAACCAAGAATCTTTTTTATCTTGTGAAGCACTTTGAGTTGCCATGTGTGTGAAATAATCTTGCCCATCCTCAAAAATGAATCCTGGTTTCTTTGGAAAAATGAAAACAAAAAGTCTTGAGTAAACATTTGAGATAGTTGTTCACCGTGCCAAATCAGAAATGTCTCTCATCCCACCCCAGACATTCCAGGAGCGGTCTCCCAGCGGTGGGTCGTCAGTCACGTCCTGCTCCTTCCAGCTCCTTCCTGCCCTGACTCTCACTTCTGTAGAAACTCGGTGGTTCTGGTCAGACTGAGGGTTTACTGTACTCGGCGATGAGCTCATTCAAACAGGTGCAAAAGCCACAACTCCTTTAATCATCATGTTTCCCAGATAAAGCCAAACCCAGAAGTTTGTTTTTTGATAAAGCCAAACCCTGGAGTCTGTTTGTCTCGTTGTGAGGAAAACATTTCATCTGCTGTGGTATAGACTAGGATTTTGTGTTTGTTGTGTCATGTAAGATAAGATAAAATATACTTTATTAATCTCACACAGGAGAAATGTACAATATATAAGTGACTGACTGAGTTTTCCCAAGATGGACGACAAAATTAGGGTTAAATCTGCAAGCGGCAATGAAAGCCCTGGTCTTTGTGTGTGTGTCTTTTTGCCTCACGGATACTTGCACCGGACTCCAGACCCCCGTTACCTCGTTTTGTCCCCCTCAAGCCCAGTTCTTGTTAATATTAGATAGCAATATGGCCTACGTGCAGGACTGTACAAGGACTCTGATGATGACTCCATGTTTTGACTATGATGTGCACTGTCTCTGTGTGACACGTACGTCTTTCGATGTGTGACGTGACAATGACTATATAAACTGTGTACTGCCTTTATTCTGTCTGAGAGAAAGAAACAATTGAAACCACTGGATCTTGAGAGAAACTTAAATAAACTTCCAGAATTGGCGCACCACGATCCGTCTCTGTCTGCTTCATTCCTGACACTCTCAATCTGAAAAATTAACCTCATAGTAAATGTGAGAGTGTCCATAGGTGGCGCTGTAGCTGTGACAATCGTGTTATGCATATATATATATTTGTTAGAAGGCATTTAGTGTATTTGTGAATGAATTTGATCGGACCAAGGTTGTGCACCAATAAGCTCATTTAAAGGATTCCATGCGCCCCTAGTGGATAACTGTGAGATTGTTGGCTACTACCATTTACTCCCAGTTACATGGCAGTTAAATCCCCAAGCAAGGTGTTCGTCCAAGGCTGGTCCCGGACTGGTCCTGGTCGCCTGGAGTGGTTCTGGACTGATACTGTGCTGGATTTGTCCTCAAGGTTCTGACACTGGACTGATTCTGAGCTATCTCAGAACCAGAACCACCAAGAGCAATTGCTTGTTGCCATAGGAACACACTGTTTTTTCATCCTTTCAACAAACTGCAGAACTTTGTTGTATTTCAAGTTTTATCCACCAGTGAAAAATGTTGTTAAACTACTTACTACCCACTTGCTTAAAGGTGCAGTAAGTAATGTTGTTAGCTTAGCCGTAGCACCAACTGGAAACCACTCCCCCCTCCCCTCGCCTCTCCACCAAACCAAACATCCAGCATTTTCTTTTCTTTGTCACAACAGGGAGAGTGGGCGGGGCAAACGTGAAATTGGCATTTTCTGTTCAGCCCTTTTAGGTTTTAGAAAACTCAGGTGCACTCGTGAGAAACAGGAAGAGGGTGAAGGGGGTAAACACATCCCATTGGTTCGTTGGCGATGAACGAATCCCATTGGTTTATTTTTTTTCGGTCGGTTATTCATTATTAATTTTGTAGACTATAGGCATCTGGTCAATTCCATTACTATTTGAAAACACATGGTTACTTTATTTAGGGTTTAGGGACATTCTCCCACAATATTTTAAAAATGTGTCAGGAAAAAATCACTGACTGCATCTTTAACAGAATTATTTTCTTTTACTAAATTTGAAGAAAAATTAACTTTTTGGGGAATTTTTTTCAGAATTCCATTGATTTGAATTGGAGCCGTCAAATGCACTGGTTCTATAGCTTCATAAATGTGGGAATGCTAGTGTTAAAACCTCATCAGCTGTGACTGTACCTTTATGGGTATAGTTCCAACAGTAGTGCTTCCCCAGTGACTCCTCCTCGGCCTCCACACAACCCACACCCTCGCGGTCCCTTCCTGCTTCCAGTCCCACTGTCCGCTGCAGGAAACTGACCCGTTTACAACCTGTGACTCACAAAGAGACTTATGAGCTGTTTCTCTGCACAAAGCCACGTTTGTCCTGCTGTTTTACTGTTCAGACACCTGCTGCGGACTCCGGCCTCCGCTGGGCACTGATCCACCTGCTGCTGACCCACACCATCAATGAGAAACGCCTTTAAAACATTGTGTTTTAGTTTAAATAAATGTGGGAATGAGTATTAGCTTGGCTGAGGTAGGGCAGTTAAAGCCGGGGGATCTTGACTTTTTGTCAGAGATAATAGTTTCTAGAAAGAGTCTTGTGTAAGTAACATGTTGTAAGCAGAAAAGACCATTGAGTATTTTTTGGCATGCTCGTAATAAAGAGCCCCATGAGTCACTATTTAACGCTTTGGGCTGACAGCTGATTGGCTGACAGAGGGTGGTCCTCTTCTTTTCACTTTTCTAATTTAAAAAGCTGATCTAAATACTGTATATGACATATATACAAATGAGAACCAGTGATAAAAACTGTTTTAGATACACACTACACAAAGTGATTGAATATGAGGTCATTTTGGCATGAAGTGAGTGGTTTTTGTAATTTGAGTATATTCTGTCTGATTTAAAACCAGATTTGCCACTGGGACAAATCCGTTTAGTCTTATCGAACACTATATCAGTATTGTAACTCCTGCTGTAAGGGGCGACAGTAGCTCAGTTGGTAGAGCATTGGCCTTAAGGCCAGAAGGTCGTGGGTTCAATTCCCACCTCTGCACCTTCTCCACCGACTCCCACTGATGACTGCTGTCGTTGTGTCCTTGGGCAAGACACTTAACCCCACTTTGCCCAAAGCCCCCACTGAAAGATCAAGGCTATGCTCACACTCAGAGAGCAGCTGTCCTCCTGTGGACTCACCACCTGCAGAGGGTCAGTGAGGTGCTGGTGCTATGAGACTTGGGTGGCATCTCTGACTGCTGACTGCCCCCTGACCCAGAAATGGATTAAAGCGTAGAAAAATGGATGGATTTTCTCATTCCAAGAGAAAAAACTCTTATTTCTTTATAAAAACCAGATTCTTTTGCTTGTCCCATTGGCAAATCTTGTTTTAAGGCGTCAAAATGTGCTAAAATAACAATACATTTTACAAAAGTTGAGCAAATTTTGACTTGTTTTTGACTCACTTTTTGCTGTGTAGTTACATGCATTTTTATATCATTTAGTCTCATTGTTGTGACGTGAAAGTTACGTACCCCAACTTTAAGTGAACACAAATCCCCAGAAAATGTAAAGCTGAACATCCTACTTTTATAACCACAAAAAAATCATTATAACTATATACAGTTCCTCAATGTTTGCCTCAACTCTTTCTGTTGGGGCAAAATACAATCAATAATTTATTTGTAGAGCACAGTTTGTGTAGAAGGCAATTCAAAGCAGCATAAAATAATTGTGCTTAAAACTTTCATCAAAATGTGGGTCTAAAAAGGGAGATAAAGGAGATAGACAGTACGAAGCAGGATCACTAAAAACAATAATAAAAAGTGAAGTACCTCAGCTTTAACAGCAGTGGATCAAAACAAAAAAGGGTTGTTTAAAAAAGTGGGTGTAAATGATAGTGTGTTTCTGAGCCGGAGTCAGAGAAAGTGAAAGGCAGGACTCTGAGGAGGTCTGAGGAGGAGACCCCGATGACATCACCCAACAGAGCATTCCTGAATCCCATTATGTCCCTGTGATCGTCCGATAATCCACGTCTTCTAGTTATTTATGCATGCAAACTGGCTGAATTAAAGCTGGGGTACCTCATTTTGATGTTGGCCTTAGCATATGTGAAAACAGTGAAAAAATCTGCACAGCTATGTTGCTCTTTTGTTTACAGACCTAGCTGTGTGGATTTTTTCACTGTTTCCACTGTTTTCACTTTTTAATGCAGCACGCTAGTCCAGACTACAGGGATATGCGGCCTTATTTGAAACAACTTTTGCATATGTGTAAGAAAGAGAGAATAAAATATATGATTTATTTGTCTGTACAGCACTTTGATGAGCCTAGGCTGTTTAAAATGTGCTTTAGGAATAAAAGATGGATTGATTGATGATTGAGTCTGAAGGTTAAGTAATGCTATCTGCCTGTGACTCCCCATACCACCACCAGGGGGAGGAGTTGAATATTGATTTTTGCCAAATGTGAAAAATATCAGCTGCAAACACAGTCATAAGTTTGTAAGTAATAATTTCAACTGAGAAATTGTCAAAACTATTAAAACAGCGAGTGTGATGTCATAGATACTTTAATTATCCCTGTAGGAGCAGCAGAAACCCATCCATCCATACAACAATAATAAATATGTAATTCTAAAGTTACTAATGATAGTAATAAAGTGGTACTGAAATTACAGGAGCATTTAGACAGAAGGGGCGGAGTTAATTGTTTGTGGCATATGTTCTTGATATTAACATGGATGGCTCTAAAATCAACTCCAGGTCTGTATTTGAAGTGGAACTCCCCCAATCAGCTTGACTTTTCCACCAAAGAAGAGCGAGCGCTGGTTGCCATGGCAGCACACTGTTTACTTGACAGCGGTTGGCATTCTGTACCCTTTCGACGATCTGTTTTTTCTGCATTTCAAGTTTCATTCACTAGTTTTAGCACTTATTAAAATTAAGTAAAGTAAAAGGAATGAATGAAATTACTAAAATTTAATAAAACTAAGGAAAAAATAACTTTTTGGGGGGATTTTCCAGATTTCCATTTATTTGAATGAGAGCAATAGAATAAGCTCATGAGAGTTTAAAAAAAATTCTAAATAAGAAAATAATTAACTCATTGTGTCCCATTGACGCACAAATACGTCAAAGCAAATAGTAACGTCGTGTGCCATTGACGCATTAATCCGTCAATTGCCTTTTTCGCTATTTTCACGTTCCCAGATGTCTATTGCATCTAATATGTATGGGGATGACTTGAGACCATATTTTATCGAGCCAGCAGGTGGCAGCATTGCTCTCTGAATGGTTTGAAAACATGTAGGTGCACATGTTATGCCTCTTTTTTCTCAGCTTTCTGGTGATTTCTGGTGATTTCAGTAAAACTTCCCTCTACTCAACAAAGGATTACAGGGGAACGAAAAAAGCTATAAACAAAATTCTTTTTGCTGAGGAAAGTAGACAGTCCATTCTTTTAGAATCTGGTGTCGGATTTCAGATAGTCATAGTACACAATATTCTGTGGGTCTTGAAAAATCAGTAAAAATCATCAGAAATGGCTGGCACTGTGGGAGTACCTGTTCTGAAATAGGCTGGCATTCAATGAGTAGGAAAGAGACATTTTAATTTGTCCCACAGTGGGGAAATTTCAAGGTTGCAACGCACATACAGGACAGTAGCAAGAGCATACAAAATATACAAAACAAGTAACTGTGAACGCAAGTGAATATCAATAAACCTGTATATATGTGTGTGTATATAGTGTGAATTATTTATGCATATGGCAGGATAAATGATAAAGTGAAATTCAGTGGTCAAAATAACTGCTATAATAAAACAGTGTTATAGCAATTTTTGACTTTTTTTGGTCTTTTTTTTGCTGTGAGAATTTTTTTTTGGTATCCCAGCGTTAATATGCACGAGTCGTCCACGCTATTTGAACTTCCTCTTTGAAACAATGCAGACTTCTTCCTCCCTTCTGCACCTGTTTATAAAGTCATCTGTAATTGTTCCATAAAAAGTCTTTTCTGCTGCGACAGCTCTTTTGGCCGGGCCCGTGTCAAACCCAATTGTTGCCTGCTCCAGACCGCACTGTGTCCGCTGGAATGTCAGACTCCCAGGCCTTTTATTATTGCATCCATACCACCACATTATGGGCTCCGGTCACTAGGCAACTGCAGGTCCCAACCGGTCCCCATGGAGAGGGCTCATTGAGTGACGTGTTTGCCTCTCTGTCTGTGGGTCTCTTTTTAAAAGCAGTAACCCCCATCTCTGCACATGCACACCCCCCACACGGAGCTTCGTCACCCTATGCACGGAACAAAAAGACAAAAAAGTGCTCTCGGGACCTTTGTTCTCCGCGGATTGTACTAGAGCTGCTGAGAAATCACTGGATTACTGGAAACAGAAGGAAATAGGACTAATTAGACCCGCCTTTTTTGCTAATTTAAAGGTTTTGTGGACACAGATAGGATTCGGGAATAACGCAATATATGTAATCAATCACATAGATACCACAAAAAAACGTTCCCTCTCCGCTCCGCTTTGAGGAGCTGAACTGGAAGGGTCCAACGCCATCGCTCCAGTCATTCTCCCAATGGAAGGCAAGGAGAGCTTATAGGTATAGCACAAGGCAACTCAAAGTGCTTAAAAAAATGATCAAAGATAGAAATGATCACACAAAAAGGTATTAAAATCATAGATAATCACATTCATTTTTATCCATACCTTTAAAGTAGTGAGGACACAATTTTATAGTTTAACTACCTGGATTTGAACCGTGTCAGAGTAAAATCCTGTCTCACATTCTCAGGAAGACTGTTCCAGATTTCAGCTTGTTCGTTCTATCAATCGTCGCTGCATTAAAGCTGGGTTACCTAACTTTCAAACAACAAAGAACTGATCTGGAAGTCAAAGTCCAAGTTCCTCGCTCTCAAACAGATTGGTTCCATCACTAGTTTTCACACGTGTGTATTATTTACTAAACACGAAAGTTAGTATCTCCAGCTTCAAACAGTGCCTTGTTGCCTTCTCTCAGCTTTCCGGTCGTGTGACAACCCTCCTCCTCCCCGTCTTCCTCGCACAGTGGGACATTCTCCTCGTCTCACTTCTTCAACTGAAAATGACTATATATTTTGCACTGCTACATTTCTCTCTGAATGTTGTGCTATTTTCAGTCAAAGATGAAACAAGCATCCGACTTGAAATCATTGAATAATCTTTCGTATTTTTGGACCAATGACTGTTCCATTCTCTAATCTTCTTTTCTAATATTCTAATGTTCTACTGCTATGTTCTACTACTATACTACTACTATACTAATCGTCTATTGGAAAATCAACAAGATTGTTACGTCCTTCGAGGGTACTGTTGTAGTGATATTGGGTTTTAGATTTGAATGGGCCTATTTCCCTCTTATGCCTAAAGTCAATATTAATAATACTATTAATTAACATTTATGGACATTGGTCATGAGGCTCTCTTTGGACCAAATGTCTCCAATGTGTTTGTTATTATTGTATATCCTGTGCTGTTTGATTCTCTGATCTGTTGTTGAGGAATCGACAACTTCGTCTGCTGTTCAATAATACATTGATTCATTTAAGTGAATTAAAAACACCATTTGCTAACTTTCTTCTGGGAGAAAGGACATTTAAAGCATAACATCGGCCCTTGCTAGCAGGCCTAACAAATGTATTAAGTTTGTTTGCTTCACTGTAATACAATAAAACTAATAATACTAATAATATCAAGCGTTTTTGTAACTTTGGGCAACAGGTGTCCCACATCCATAGCTTTTTCTGTAAAGTTTGGGAACCGCGTCATCATGTTTGCAGTGTGCCTCTCTAAGTGGAGTGTGCATGTTCTCCCTGTGTCTGCGTAAGTTTCCTCCGGGTGCTTTGTTTTCCTCTGTCACTCAAACCTGTGTGTAATCCTCCAGCTCTGGTCCTGACAAAGACCATCGACATTTGGAGATGGTTCTTTGGATCAGGAAAGATGGGACAAATGCACTTGATGAACTGCGAGACATCAAAGTAAATATGAATCAAGTCAGTATCAGGCGTATTCTCCCACAGTGAGTGAGATCTGGTTTGCTGGAAAGAATCATTTCACTTTAAATATTATAAATAAGAAACCAGGCTGTGACTCCATTTACATGTGTTCTTGTTTATTAAAAGTATAATCAACTAGTTATTGTACTGTGTTTGTGTGCATTCTTGTGAAGAAGTCATAAGACCTGCTAAGATTCTTATAATCTTTGGAAATCCACTCATGAGCCATTGTGACACATGGTGCATAGCTTTAGGATAAGCCGAAAACATTACACTTGTGGCTATTTCAGTCATTTTTTTCGGCTCCCAGTATTTGTAGCGCGTTAGACCGTGTTTAAAAGGTTTTTTTGTACTACGTTTGTACTATTATACAGTCGCTGACTTGTCTGCGCCTATAGCACTAATTTGGCCGCTCGCTCTGAGTGGGTGGAGGAGGAGTGAGGGGTGGGCACCGCGGTATTGTGCACTGAACAGCGGTGCCCCTCTCTCAGAAAGGGCATTGTCATCTGGATTTCTATGGCACCAAAATACTTTCTCCCGCCGGGGGGGTGTGGAATCATGGGAAGACAGACATTACGCACAGAGGCACCTTCACGCAGTGATGTAATCTCTTTGGATCCAAATAACACACTTCATCCAGTGATTAGACAACATACTCAGTTTAATTTTAAACAGGAAAACAGTGTTGCATCTCTTACATGTGAATAAGCAATGATGAGCCTACAGTAACATATTAAACACGCTTTAAGTCTGAGAAAGGAACCTGCAGGACACATTAATTACGCAGGCGCCAAAGGAGTCAAATGTTTACGCCAAACACACTGCCTGTATTAAAAGCCCTCGCTCCAGTCTACAAACAATGTTTAACTTGGCACCAATGACCAGTCTAGGTATTGCGCGTGCGTGCGCTGTTCCTCGTTGTCTTTTGCTGCGTTCCCAAACGTGTGGGAGTCACTACTGTACAACGCACCGAGACCTGGAACTCAGATCCTCTGTTAAAACTTACAAACGTAAACAATCCATAAGATGTTGGATGACATACAGCAGTACCAACACGATACTATCTTTGTAACAAGCTCTCTCTCCAAAGTCCTTGTCAAATGTCCAGTAACAGATTAGTCCAGAACAAGTGGTCAAAACGCGCTTCCAGTGATATTCAGAGAAACGCACCCGGTGCAAAAACAGAGTCTGGTCTTTACGCACATTACGCACAGGGCGCGCGCTACACATAGTTCCGTTTATCGTATTCTCCGTTCTGCGTGGTTCTTTTGGTCGGTGCGTATTTGACGGAATATCCCGAGTTCCCGCTGGAAGGACAGGAGCAGCAGAGCAGCGCGCCCCCGATGAGCAGCAGCGCCGTGGCAGCCCATCCGATGTAGATGGCGGCTCCGATCTCCCTCTTCTGCGGCTTCGGCACGTTCGGGTTGTAGAAGTCTGAGATGATGTTGTTGGCCATCCAGCACAGCGGCACCAAAACGCACAGCGCACAGATGATGTAGATCACTCCTCCCGCGTTCACCACCCGGGCCTTCACGTACTCGGCGCTGATGCAGTTTGTGCACTGCGCTCCCGCGATGACCACCATGAGCCCCAGCACTCCCAACACGGAGGCGATGATGGTGAGAGCCCGCGCTGCCTGCAGGTCGTGCGTGAGCGCTAACACAGAGTCGTGCACCTTACACTGCATCTGGCCCGTGCTCTGCACCACGCACGTCATCCACAGACCGTCCCAGATGGTCTGCGCCACCACGATGTTCCCGTCAAGATACGCCGTTACTCTCCACATGGGCAGCCCGCACGTGACCATCACGAGCAGCGACCCCACGATGCACAACGACAGCCCCAGGATCTCCAGACCGGCAGACACCATGATGCCCAACTCTAGGTAACGGATCCAAACGGAATGAAACTCTGTTTACTGACGCGAACGCACCGAGCGGATTCAGTCCAGGTCTGTCCTCAGAGAAGTGTCCCCGTGTTATGTGCGCATGATCCGGGCGTAAGAGAAAGAGAAACGCCACTTTGTCTGGAGGTGATGTGAAAACAACTGGAGCAAAGGACCATCGGACCACAAATATCCTCTGCGAGCGGTGGGGGTGATTTGGAGCGCAGAAAAACTTTTGACCAATCAGCGGCGAGCGCATCTCAGGAGAGCCAATGAGCGCGCAGGCAAGTAGTGAGGCTGAACAAAGCGGTCCGCAAACCTTTGTGCGTTTGAACAGTTATTTACAACGAAATGAACAGACAGTGAGGCGTGCGGGAGGGGGGCAGGCGCTCTGTGGCAACAGCCGCTCATGCGTTAGTCCTGATGGTGCATAAAAAACAGAAACATGTGAACCTTAGAGCTGCAGGAGGAACTTTGCCCAATGGACTTACAGTTTGAATGGCTTCTAAGTGAATTATTGTGGTTAGCCATGCTCCTAAATTCAACGTATTATCTCATATATATGTTTTGTTTATTGTTCTTTTCTGTGACACTATGGACCGTAAATAATGGTAAAGTGATTATTTGACAGGAAACGCAAAAAAATATCCTCTGTCTATTTTTATGTTTTACTTGAGGAAATGTAAAACATACTTGTTTACTTTTTCCTAAGGGAATGATTGAATAAAATGCTTATTTTTAATATTGTATTCATGTTTGTATACGTATATGATGAAAATTCGAGTACCTTTTACCACAAAAATGCACTTGATTTTTATGTATCTATTGCCACCTGCTTAATGTCTTGATCAACGTTTGTGGATTTTTTCCTTGATTTTGGCCTGTGCAACAAAAATAAATAAACACATTTTGAGAACTCATCAGACCACAACATCCCGTGTATAAACGGGGGTTTTTGTAGGGGTGAAAAGTTCATAAATGTTTGGTGCCAGACTTAAATGAGCAAGTAATCAGTTAAATCATAAAATCAATTCTAAAACACTCAGGGAGCTGGTGGAGGGATGCTAAAACAGGGGTATTGTGCTCCCTTCTGTTAAAACCATGTTATCTCTGGTCAGAAAGACTCTATCTATCTCTATCGCAGTCATAGTTTTGGGCTGAGAGCCGTTTTGGCTGAGTGCAGGTATAACTCTCCTCCTTACCTTTTCTATCAAAAAAAAGCTGTTTTAAAGATATGAAAATGGCCAAAAACAACCAGTTATAGAATCAAATTGTTTTGAGTGATATTAACTAAAAGTGAATTTTATTACATGGTTTATCTGTTTGTGGTTTTATAGATGATCCCCATGGGAGAAATATGTCCAGCAGCAAAAGTACATAATCCATACAAACCTAATAAATTAAAGAAAGTAAACTGTGATTTTATTTAAGATAATTCTTGTTTTTAAACATATTTTGAAATAATATTTTTTAATGTTTTGTAGATTTTAATGTATGAGATGTATGCTTGATGTGATATGGGTTGTGAGACGCTTTGTGTTGCATTGTGTAGGAAAGCTCAACAAATAAAAGTTGAATGATTGATTGATTGACTGATTGAAAGAAAAGTCTTATGGTCGAAATAACATACCCCAGCTTTAAGTACATAAAACAAGTACTTTTGCCTCCTCTGAACATGCATGTATCTCAATTTGTGACTCAAAATCCAGCCTAGTCATGTATGCGGGCCCAGTCTCCACAGATAGAGTCATTATTATGGTGTGGTCGTGTCTCCTGCAGTAGCACAGCAGCACCACAGGGGGCGCGCTGTCTGGGATCGTTTCCGGACTTCCTTCCTGAGCTTTTGGGCAGTGACAGCGGCGAGAGGGGAGAGAGAGAGAGACCACCGCTGATCTCAAAGTATTTCACAGTTTTCCACAGGCGCAGGTAAGAATAATGTGCGAGGCTTTTTGTGTGAGACATGTTTCCAGGCGTCCTCTGAGAAAGACGCAGAGAAGGAGACAGACTTTGGCTCAGTGTGCGGCAGAAACATGACACCGCGCAACAACTGCACCTCCAAAAGTTTGTCACAACCTCAATCCAGTTGCATTACATTACACAGTGCGTCTAACTCATGGATATGTTATAACTACACGTTTGCATGTAACTATAAAACTTCATAGGCATGCCATGTTATCTAAAGAGGCCATTTCAAAGGTTAAAATCAAAATAAATGTTTTTTTGATGGTAATTGTGCAAACTGGGTGTGGTGTGGCATCCACTGTGTAAGACTTATGTGGGCATTCAATTGCAACGTGATTATATTTATGAATGATTTATTTTGTACAAATATAAGCATAATTTTATACATAGCAGAGATAACGATTTTCAAAGTTTCAAGTTAAAGCTGGGGTACCTAATTTTCAAACCCCAAACAATTGAACTATGCCATGATTTGAGATAAGCTAAGATGGGATAAGATAAACTTTATTGATATCACAACTGAGATATTTACATGTCACATTTGGCATAGATAGAATCGCTTGGGATATGTGCAAACAGACAGGAAGTGGGCAAACGTGAAAAGGTTTTAATATAGTCTCTTTTGTGCAAGATATATTATGCACAATTCAATTAAAAGTGTCTATAGCAGTGTGAGTTCATGGTTCTATCACAAGTTTTCAAATGTTTGTACGTTTGGCTCTTTTTCAGACAGAAACGTGAAACAGTGATAAATATTATTATGTATTTGGTAGAGGCTTAATTATTTTGTATGATATTTCAGCTTCTTGACAAAAACAAAATTCAGATAGACACTTGAAATGATAGATAACAAACAGGTGGTGAAATAAGAGTTTGTTCTGCTGTTTTTGTCAGAAAATTCAGTTGAAATGTTGTTAATTTCAATAGCAACTCTCAATTGAATTCTTTGGGTCAGTATTTTGTGGTAAACCGTGTCCATTGTTCTCTGTTGGATGTTTACTTCAAAAGTTATGCCAGATTCGATTACATTTGTCGGGAAATTTTTAGGAGATGATTAGGTGCAATAAAGGGTTAAAAATTAAGATTTAGAAGTATTATTTCAGCCTGGTACCTGTAGTTTCTGTAAATAGACACTTATAGATTAGATTCAAGATTTTTTTTTGCTATTTGCAGTAAAACCACATTGGAAAAACTGCAAGAGTACCCCTATGTTATGAAAATTTGAGAGGTGCGCATGGACCCCTCTTTCTACCTAGACTAAGAGGACCCACTCGGCCAATCCAGTCACTATTTGAGAGCCCAAAGTGTCAAATAGTGACTCATAGGGCTTTTTGTTTGACGTATACATGCTTAAGATGACATGTTTCCAATAAAGATGTAGACAGTAGAGAACAAAGGTAGTCTGAGGCACTCTGTTTTAGTGAAAAAATTAAAAGTCCTTTAATGAATTGGACTGCCTACGCGTTTCGACCAACAGCGGTCTTCGTCAGGGCATAAATAATCACCAGCAGGTGAACCTCTTTTAAAAGCAAGGCTGTCACATGACAGGAAGAACATGTGACAGAAAATTTGACAGAACATTTTTGTGAAACAAAAATCACCAGTGTGACTTGATCATAGTGAAAAAACTATGTATAAATACATGGAGCTATACATTCAGACACATACACACAAAGCGCCACAGGAAAAGAAGAGCGAGCGAGCATATAGATGAAGGCACCAACTGTAAAACACTGATATAACAAGAGCAGTGAAATGCCAGTTTATATTCTCATCAGTATACATTTTCAAACCGGATCACAAAACCACTGTCCATAACACATTATTCCAAACAACTACAAAAAACTACAAAAATGGGGTAAAGTCTAGTTCCTCATTTAGTCCAGGGTGATGCATAGCTCCAAGCGTATCTATCCAGTATGTCTCCCTCTGGAGCAGTTTTTTGAGTTTATCTCCTCCCCTGAGGTCCATTTTGATTGTCTCTATGACCATGATTTTGAGTCCATTGATGTTGGTATGGCCCATAGTTTTAAAATGTTTGGCCAGCGGATAGTCCAGATTCTGAGTTCTGATTGCATATTTATGTTCTGCAAACCTCTCTTTCAGCTTTCTCTTGGTACGTCCCACATAAAAGCCACCACATTCACAGTCAATTCTGTACACCACATATGTTAGTTGCAGTTAGCAAAGCTAAGGCTTTTAAAGGTCTTCTCCTTTTTAGCATCGGTAAATGTAGTGCTCCGATTAATCTGTGGGCAATGTTTACAGGAACCACACATAAAAGTACCGGCTGGTTTTTTGAAGGAGAAGGCGGTCGATTTTTGAGGGGGCAAGTAGCTCCTCACCAGTTTGTCCTTCAGAGTGGGAGGGCGCTTAAATGAGAAAGTTGGCGTTTGTGAAAACAGTGGCCCCAGAGAATGGTCACAAGATAAAATGCTCAAATTTTTTGTGATAGTTTGTTTTATTTTGTGAGCAGTGCTGCTGTATTGTAGAGGGCAAAAAATTTTATTTGATGGAGGAGTGGAACTCTTCCTTTTCAGAAGAGCATTCCGGTCTTTGCTTTTTGCCTTCATAAGGGCTGGATCAAGTGTCTTTTTAGTGTAGCCCCTCTGTCTGAATCTGCTGTACATGTCCTTCGCTTGGTGGTCAAAGTCCGATTCAGAGCTGCATATTCTTCTTACTCTATACAAAGATGGCGCCTCGTACGGTCGACATGGCTCTTTGCTGCTCTTTTTCTTTTGTTTTTACTTTTTAACTGCGCATCTGGCTGTTCCTACACCCGTGAGGAACTTATGAACATCCGACCCACCGTTCCCATGGACCTATTGCATGTTTTCTTGGCATCTGCGGCTGATTTAGTTCATGTTCTAGCCAAAAAAGTGTGGGCCCGTAAAAGGGGAAAGCGCGGAGGCCTGCTCGTGCGTCTTAGGAGGAGAGGAGCGCGCACGGCTCTCCCCGGCATTTTTCTCTCCAACGTACGCTCACTGGGCAATAAGATGGACGAACTCAGCCTGCTCATGAGAAGAAACAAGGACTTTGCCACATCCTGTGTCCTCTGCTTCACTGAGACCTGGCTAAATGATCGGATCCCGGACTGCGCTCTGGAGCTGCAGGGCTTTGGGCTGTTCCGCGCGGATCGCCATTGTACGCTCTTAGGGAAGAGCAGAGGCGGTGGGCTGTGTTTCTACGTCAATACAAACTGGTGTAACGATGTGACAGTGATCTCCAAGCACTGCTCTCCTGCTATGGAATATCTTTTCATTCATTGTAAACCATATTACTCCCCGCGCGAAATTGTTTCATTCATTCTTGCCTCTGTTTACATACCGCCATGCGCGCACTCGCAGAGCAAGTACTGTGTATGGAACGCTTATACCCGGACTCTGATTATTATCCTGGGGGATTTTAATAAGGGAAACTTGAGCCAGGAATTACCCAAATACAGACAGTTTATCAAATGCCCGACCAGAGAGGAGAACACTCTGGATCACTGTTACACCACCGTGCGCGGAGCTTTTCGCGCTGTTCCCAAGCCAGCCCTCGGCTTCTCAGATCACTCCATGATACATCTGGTTCCTGCTTACAGACAGAGACTAAAGCTCTCGAAACCTGCAATGAGGAGCTCCAAAGTGTGGTCTGATGAAGCTGTGGAAGAGCTGCGCGCATGCATGGAATCTACAGACTGGGACCTTTTCAGAGCTGCCACAGATAGTTTGGATGAATATACGGACACTGTGACGTCATACATTCACTTCTGTGAGGATAGCATCATTCCAACAAGGACCAGGGTCATCTATAACAACGACAAACCCTGGTTCACTGCTAAACTCCGGCAGCTCAGGAAAGCAAAGGAGTCTGCTTTCAGGGAGGGGGACCGCAGCGGCTACAAAGCAGCTAAATATCAGTTCAGGAGAGAACTGAAAGCAGCCAAGTCCCGGCACAGAGAACGACTACAGGAGCAGTTTGGTAACAACGATACTGCTTCTGTCTGGAGGGGCCTACGGGAGATCACCAACTACAAACCCAAAGCCCCCCCCTGTGCTGACGACCACAAGCTAGCTGACGATCTGAACTTATTTTTCAGTCGCTTTGATGCTGCCCCTGACACCTCTCCCTCCCCCACCCCCCACTACTCTAACGACCCACCCATCAGCCCTGCCCCCAGCCTAACAATAGCCGCTAAAGAGATTAAACAACTCTTCCTGAGGCTGCACCCCCGCAAAGCTCCTGGCCCGGACCACGTGTCTCCGGCCACTCTGAGACACTGCGCCAGTGAGCTTACTCCTGTGTTCACGGACATTTTCAACACCTCTCTGCAGTCCTGCCATGTCCCGGCCTGCTTCAAATCCTCCATCATTGTCCCCGTCCCGAAGAAGCCCAGGATCACAGGACTCAATGACTACAGACCTGTAGCACTTACGTCTGTCGTCATGAAGTCATTTGAACGCCTGGTTCTCTCCCATCTCAAGTCCCTCACCTCCCCCCTCCTGGACCCCCTGCAGTTCGCCTACAGAGCCAACAGATCTGTAGACGACGCCATTAACCTGGCCCTCCACCACATCCTACAGCACCTGGACTCCCCGGGGACCTACGCCAGGGTCCTGTTCGTGGACTTCAGCTCTGCCTTCAACACGATCCTGCCATCCCTGCTCCAGGACAAGCTCTCCCAGCTCAATGTGCCCGATTCCACCAGCAGATGGATCACTGACTTCCTGACAGACAGGAAGCAGCGAGTGCGTCTGGGGAAGAATGTCTCGGACTCTCGGATTATAAATACAGGAGCCCCACAGGGCTGTGTTCTTTCTCCCCTGCTCTTCTCCCTGTACACCAACCACTGCACCTCCAGCCACGACTCCGTGAAGCTGATCAAGTTCGCGGACGACACCACCCTCATTGGACTCATCTCCAACAACAATGAGTCCGCCTACAGGAGGGAGGTGGACCGGCTGGTGTCCTGGTGCAGT